AACACTCTTGTCCACGAATTTATACTAATAATTTCCAGGAATCGAATCAGACATCTGAGCTACACTGCTTGACTGGACTGGTCCTGTACATTTTTTCCTCACTGTTAGTATTTTACTTTGCTCTCCTTCTCTGCTTCTTGGAAAACAATTCCTTTATCCTCATTTCCAAGTCCATTGTCAAAGGAGGAAACCTTACTAATTATTGGAACTATCATCATAAACCCTGACCTGTCTGTGATGCTGGTGGCCCTTTACTTGATGCTATAATGAGACTCACTTGGTTTTCAACACCAAATAACTGGTCCAGTTGCATACTGGAACATTTTATAGAGTTACACTTTCCTATTATCCTACAGTTCTTATACTTTGTTTAACTTGTCCAAACCAGTGGTCTTCTAGTTGGGCCTCTGAGATCTGCAAAAGAGCAAAATTTACAAACCACTTCCTAGAAATCCCTAATTTTACAAACAAGACTATTGAAGCACGTTTTAGAAAAAAAGAAGGATTATTAACTGTATGCAATAACAAAACAGAACCATGGCTTAAGACAACTGTTTGTAGAAACATTACTTGAAAAGAATCGTATGCAGCCCTCCTGGTTTTGTTTACATTTCTGAATGAGAAAACTCAATTTGGGGCACTAACTGTTTAGATTCATGGACAATGGGAGGCCAATGTGGACTAGAATATTTGACCACTTTGTTGTCAGTACATAAGAGATCCAAAACAGATCACTGGGGTATTCATTGGACCTGCCCCCTTTCAACACATCAAAGGGTCACACTGGAGCTGCCTGGCAGAGCATGGGACTCAGGATTTGTTTCCTTTGTTAGAGTTTTTGCATCATACTTTGGTGTTTCTGCAAATAAAGTGATGATTATAAATTGGCTTTTTACTCTAGGAATTTTTATAGACTCCACGGCAAAGCCTGGCTCCATGCAGCATCACTTACTTAATCCCTTGCTAGAATGATTTTAGATAATAGAATATCTCTTAATTATTTACTGGCTGAACAAGGTAAAGTCTGTGCTATTGCTAATATCACATTCTGACCCTAGACACACTCTTCTGGGGAAGTTGAGACCCAGTTATTCAAATAAGAGAACAAGCCATATGACTATAAGTCTTGCCCAGTGCCCTGTGGTCATTTAATTTGTTTAGTTGGTTGTCTTTTCCTAGGTTCCTGGCTCAAAACCGTTATGCAAACTGGGGTTATAATATTACTCTTAATTTTGCTATTACCAGTTTGAAGCTTTGTACCTGTGACATGGCAAATTTCTGCAAAAGTATAACTTCTGAGATCAGTGATAGACAAAACTACTCACAGTGAGCTCGAGTGAAAAAGCAAACAGACAAAAAACTCCTGAAAAGAAACTTGCTTTTCTTTGCCATGTTTCTGATGAGAGCAAAGAGGGGAATATATATCTTTTATGAGAACTATTCAGTGCAAATGTGTACATGGACTGTGATAGATTTCTCACTTTTTATTTCCAACTTATGATTATTTAGTTTAAAGCCTACATCTCATTAGTAGCTGCCAAAAGCAAACTCAAAACATCTCTGGAAGAATACTCCTTAAACACAGGTCTCAAATAATTTCCATTAAGAAGTTCACAATGAAAGACCAAGAAAAACATGAAGGAGAGCCATAGAAAACAACAAACTATAAAATCAGACCCACTGTGATGCACTGATAATAAACAAACATAGAAATGCCTTATATGTTTAAAGAAATAACAAGGGATTGAAAATCATGATAAAGAAAAGGGACATTCCAAACTGACATGGAAGATGTAAGAAAGAAGCAAATACATCTACTGGAAATGAAAAATATAAGAGTAAAAATTTGATAAATAGATATGAGGTATATTAAATACACTGATGAAAACAATGAACAATCGTAGCATGAAGCTACAGTAAACTATCTAGAATATAGCACAGAGCCAAAAATCACCATTTAAAAAAATCATGAATGAAGGAGATTTTAAGGGACATGGATGATTCAGTGGGAATATCTTATGTACATATAATCAGAGCGCCTTAGGAGAAAAATATCGAGAATAGTGGCAGGGCAATGTTCAGCAAGATAATAAATTTTTCATAAGTAAAAAGGCATTATCAGATTCATGAATTCCAGGCAAAGTAAATTAAAAATGAAATCTGTACCTAATACAATACAGGAAAATTGTAGCACACAAAAGACAAAAATATACTAAAAGCAACTCAGGAGAAGAATGAATTTCCCACAGAAGTGGTTAGACTGACATCTGATTACTCAGAAGAAATAGGAAAGTAGACTCACTAGAATAGAATCTTCAATGTATTGATAGAATATAACAGAAAAATATGTATTTTTTATACAATTGGCTGGCTCAAAAATAAAACCAAGAAAGGGAAAAGTTAAAAAGTAGTGAACCTCAGGTTCTATGGCACACACCGACAATCCTAGTGCTTTGAGGGAGGCCTAAGTGGAAAGATGGCTGCAGGACAGGAATTCATTTGAAGCTGCCATGAGCTACAATTGCACCACTGCTGACTAGCCTGGGAGATGGAAGAAACTGTTTAAAAAAAGAAAAATAGTATAGACGGGATAAATTGCAGAGCAGAAATAAACAGAAATTTAAAATCAACTCTAATGCTAGTAAGTATAATCAATGTAAATGAATTAACTAATGAGTTAAAAATATTTTAGGACAGGGTTTTAAAATTTTAGCTATTTGTTAGAAGCAAACCTAAAATGTAAGGACATTACAAGTTTGTTCTCTTTTTTGTAAAATGACATTAAACACATACCAAGCAATATTAACTAAAAGAAAGCTGGCATAGTATATTAATTTATCAAGGACACAGTAAACCCCAAACAAAAAACTAAAAGTTGAACAGCAAACAAACATTTTGTTTAGCTCAAATAACTACATGCGAACAAAATGTCAGCTGATTAGTTCTGTTGATCTCTGCTAGGCTTTTTTTTTTTTTTTTTTTTTTTTTTTTTCCCTTTGGGAGTTGTCAGTGTTGGCTGAACTCAGCTGTAGCAACTTGGCTGTGGTCTAAACATCTCTCATCTCCCTTGTGAGCTCATCAATTCAGGTTCAACTGTGTGAATCCTCATCAAACTTCAGCTTGCCATATGTCTACTAAAATCTCATTGGCTAAAGCATATTCCATGGAGGAGGTAGTATAGACTGACCATATTGGGAAGATGGTGCCTAAGAAAGTGTCTGATACTTGATCCAATCACTGAGAAAGGATGAAGAATAGAAATTATAACACAAGCTAGTATAAAGCATTATATTAATACCTATTAAAGGTAGCTTTATGGCAAAGGCAGTAATAGACTACCACTGATCTATAAAATGTTTAATTCTTAGGGAAAATAGAATGATTCTAAAATAATTTTTATTAAATAATATGCATGTTTATAATACAAAAAGTAAATGTGACTATTATCGATGATAAAATAAATCCATAAAGTTTGTTTTAACTCATCTATCTCAATAACCAAGATTAATCAAAGAGAAACATCAGCAAGAGCTAGATCAGTACTGTTAAAAAGAGTTATGAGAACCCAGAAGTGATTTTCAAGTTTCTTGTAAGCACATTAAAGAAGGTAATAGAAATGGTGAGTAATAACTTTGACATACTAAAATATGTTAATAACACATTTTATTTAACCTCATATGCCCCAAATATTATTTCTACAAGTAATCAGTGTAAAATGTCATATCATTTTTTTCCACTTCTGTTTTACACTGCATTTATTTTTACAGGAATAAAAGAATAACTACATTAAGAGATCAGCATGTTATATAAAGCTTTTCAATAAAGGTAATGGAAGTTGGGGCAAAGAGAAATATTTTGAGCTAAATGCTGAAGTTTTTATAAGTGAAGTTCACTGAATGACAGGATATGAGCCTCAAAGGAGCAAAATATTTGTTTCTTATATCTTAATAAGTTGAGAAGCTGCAGGAAATTCTGCAGGCAAAATATGAAAGCAAAAAGAATACTAACCCCTCATTGTGATCCTGTCATAATTGGAATATGTGAGGACAGACCCCACTGGGGCAATCAAAGTTGCAGTACGTTGCAAGAGAATAGCCAAATCACAGCAAGGGTAGAATATGGGAGAATTTTTAAAAGAATTTGAGAATATGGTGGAAGTGGTCAATCACTAGGTAAGCACTTTAAAAGCCTAAGTGGAGGAGCCGGGCACGGTGGCTCAAGCCTGTAATCCCAGCACTTTGGGAGGCCGAGGCGGGTGGATCACGAGGTCAAGAGATCGAGACCATCCTGGTCAACATGGTGAAACCCCGTCTCTACTAAAAATACAAAAAATTAGCTGGGCATGGTGGTGCGTGCCTGTAATCCCAGCTACTCAGGAGGCTGAGGCAGGAGAATTGCCTGAACCCAGGAGGCGGAGGTTGCAGTGAGCCGAGATCGCGCCATTGCACTCCAGCCTGGGTAACAAGAGTGAAACTCCATCTCAAAAAAAAAAAAAAAAGCCTAAGTGGAACAGAGAGAAAGACAGAGAGGAGAGGAGAAAGAAGGAAGAGTAAGACAGGAAGTTGGGGAATTTGTTCAATTGCGGAGGTAAAACAGCAAGAGAAAGAATGTATAGGAGAAAAATAGACAACAAGATAACAAGAAAAGCTTAGCCTTTGTGCTTTTCCCTATGTTTCTCTCTGTTTTGTATGTTCACTATCTTCCCTGTTTTGAATCTTTATTATAATCTAATTAGATTTTTTTATTATACCTACAGTACAGTCATTATAGTAATTTCTATTCAGGTTTCTCTTCCTCTAACAGAAGGTAAATTCCTTGAAAACAGGGATTAGGTTTTATCAGCTTTTAATGTCTCAGTTTCTGTAGAATGTCTGAGACAAAACAAGTGTTCAGTGCTTGTTTTAGGAATGAATTATCCCTTGAATAAGTGCATTTGTGTATAGAATAGAATCCACAGTTCTAAGAGTTGCAAGTATAAACTGAGCATAGCTTCAATTCCCTCCTCTCTGAAGTGAAAGTGTTTGTCCAGAATGACCTCTATGATTCTCTTCAGCTAAAGATTTTATGGCTTCTAAATGACTCATCCTTTCATTTCTTCAAATGTTTCACCGGTAGCTTCAAGTTTTTACTTTCTGTACCAAGATCCCCAAGCTAGTTTTGAGAGTTTTTGACACTGACCTCTATTTTGGAAGCCTTCCACATAGAGTACCATATCACCCACTTCTCTTTTAAACTTTTAGAAATGCAGAGTTAACTTTTATATCACCTACTTGCAGGAAAAATATGCTTTAAATGATCTTGCTCTAAATATCATGTAAATGCTGTGTTTCTTAAAACCTAATATCTTATTTAATATTAGATTTTAAAGTAAGTCAGTGCCCAAAATGGCTTAGCACTTTTGTCTTTTATAAGCAATAAGGCACTACAAAAACTTAAAATAAATAATATCTATAATAAATTATCTCTAGAAAACGGATTCCAGAAAAATCCAAATTTATTCACCATTTTGGAAAATCAGTTAAATAGTGTATTTAGGATTTGTAAGTGCAATAATTACATATACATTATAGGATTATATACAAAAATTATTATACACACATTCTCCAGGAGATAAAATTGAGTCAGTATAAACAAACTTCTTCCTAACAACATTTTCCCTCTTTTGGTTTAGTTTTTCTTTGTTCATTCTTTAAATCTTGTTTCTCTTAATCCCTGAAAGTTTGAACTAAGGAGTCATCACAAAGAACATTTAATTATGCTTGAAATATTTGCCTCACATGTTTGATATGAAGTTTGGAGTCTATAAAAACACTGCTTCTGAACTGTCTAGCACAAGCAGATGTCCAAGTATTTCGTCAGCAAAATGGAATTGTTCACTGACGACAATTGGAGTAAAAATAACTTTAAGAATATAGAATCATGTGTTACTTATGAAGGAAATCATAATTTCAACTAATGTTCGACTGTTCTAATTAATTGTCTTATTCACACAGAATGGATACCCTCAACACAAAGGTCGATGAAATGAAGGCTGCCTCGTTTTTTCTGTCACCCAAGGCAGCATTCAGCTGGTTGAAAAGTTTTTTATCACTGCATTGTCCCATCCTTATCTATTAATTTGCTCTGAGATACAGTTTTTGGAAATAAAGAATTCTTGGTAAATGGCATAGAGCAGAGCAAAAGTTCTTAAAGTATTGTCCAGGGATCACTAGAATATGTAGATGGTTCCTGAGTTCAGGAAGTTTAAGAGGTCCTAGAATGGATTATCTCCTGTGTCATTTAAGTCCCTCTGTCAATTAATATGTGTCAAGCTTTTACATATTAAATTGCCCGGTCAATTCTGGAGAGGAGGAATTACATGGATTATGGGGCCACAAGTAATTTTCTTTTGTAACTTGTCATGTCTCAGAATTCTACCATGCTCTCTGAGTCATACAATTTTTGTCCACCTAATAGTGATTTTACACCATTGTTCTTCTTGCTGAATTTGTAATTTTTAGGTAGAACTCCAGTAATGAAGGGGGACATAAAGTCTCCAAAAGGAAAATGTGGGCAAGGTTTCAAACACGAAGAAGCAATTGGAACAAACAAATGACATGTAATGATATAAATTACCAGAAGCATAAAACAGAAAAGCAGCAAATTCAGTTGCTTTTTAGAATTGAATAATGCAATAGGTGGTCTTTGGCATGCCATGCCAAAATTTTAGTTATCCCTTCAATGAGCTATGTTTACTAAATTTTCATTTATAGGTTGATATGGTTTGGCTCTGTGTCCCCACCCAAAGCTCATGTTGAATCATGATCTGTACCATTGGATGTAGGTCCTGGTGGGAAGTGACTGGATCATGAGGGTTGTTTCTAATGGTTTAGCACCGTCTTCCTAGTGCTGTTTTGTGAATTCTCTGTTTTGATAGCGCTCTCATAAGATCTGGAAAAAAAGTGTGTAGCACCTCCACCTTCACACACACACTCTCTTCTGCAGCCATGTGAATATGTACCTGCTTCCCCTTCACCTTCCACCATGACTGTAAGCTTCCTGGGCCTAACTCAAAAGTAGAAGCCTGTGCAGTCCACAGAACTGTGAGTCAATTAAACTTATTTTCTTTATAAATTACACAGTCTCAGAGATGTCTTTATAGGAGTGTGAGAAACAAACTAACAGATAAGTATATTTATTTCCTAGGATTATTGTAACAAATGTCTACAAACTTGATGGCTTAAAACAACAGAAATTTATTTTCTCACAGTTTTGGAGGTCAAAAGCCTTAAATGCAGGTGTTGGCAGGACCAGGCTACCTTCAAAGACTTTAGGAGATAATTTGTTCTTGCCTCTTCCAGCTTTTGGTGAGTCTAGGCGTTCCTTGGTTTGTGGCCACATCACTTCAATCTCTACTCCCAGGTCATATTATGTTCCTTTTCTTTCTCTCATAAGGATACCTGTGATTGAGAGTTAATTCTGTCTTTTACCATATAAGGTAATATTCACAGTTTCCAGGAGTGAGGACTTAAACATATCCTTTTGGCTTTGCAGGTGCTCTGTGGTGAGCAGGCCTATGCAAACATACCCCTAAAGACTGAGGAAGCTGAGAGCCTGAAAAAACAGTCTGACAAATCCAGTTTCCCAGAAAGAAACATTTAATAGGGACTTATGAACAGAAGCCATGTCCCTGCCAAACACAAGACAAGATGGTGACAAGACAAGACCCCTGTGTCATTACCCTTCAGACCCAGGGCTTATATACCATAAGGAAAGAATGTGTTGGGCCATTGAAGTCAGCCCCTCAGAGAAAAGCAAGAATGCTAGGTGAATCTGCCTAAGGACAGGTTTTATAGTTAAGTTTGTTTTGCCATAAGAGCGGGATTTACAGTAACTGTAGATAAAGTAGAAATCTTAAAGGCATTCCTGGAACAGGGGTTAATCAAAAGCCAGCATGGTGGATTAGCACCCGAGATGGAGTTACTTTATCCCCCACAAGAGGCTATCACTTAGCCCACCCTAATAGGCATAACAAATCCTATTTTCAATATAATTCCATTTAAAGATAATATGTCTTTCATGAGAGGGGGTGATAATGAGAAGACAAGAAAAGGAAATAATTTGTTATATACCATACCTTTTCAAATGACTACTTAGAAAGGTGATAGGTTTTAATATTTCCAGATGTATCAGTCTCTCATCTTGTTGCTCTATCTGATACAATATTGAGAATTAAAAAAAAAAAACTTGTAATTTACTTTCCAAGAAAGGTAGTATTTATCCTAGAAATTGCTTCATCCTTGAACTTATAAAAATTCACTTCTGCCAAAAGAAAGAAAAAATGGAAGGACAAATAGGCTGCTCACATGAAAATGATGACTTCAAGTCACATATCAATTTTCTTTTGGAGATGATTCACAAGCCACCATTTTGCCCTAGGGAGAAATGTTGCCATTTTCACAGCAAAGTGTTTCTTTTTTTTGTACAGTGAAATGACAGTTTTCTTCAACAGTAAAACTGAATTAACTTCTGAAGGAAAAAACGCAGTAAAAATGTCAAACTCATAAAATATATCATGTTTTGAACATCTGCACATGTTTTTGGACTGACCTGACCAAGGAAGAAAATTTCCTCAAGGTACTAGTGGTTCGGGAACTAGGTGGCTGAAGGACAGGTGGGGGTGAGGATGGGAGTATTGGGAATAAGGAGGAGAGATCGTGAGGGTAACTTAGATACAATTGTATCATCTAGAAATAGCTCCATTATCTTGAGTTCCAAGGTATAGAAATGGATGATAATAATAGATACACTTGCTATTTGTGCTGTGCCATATTGAACAGCAGTCTAGAAGATCTATCTAAGCCTACAAAGGAATATAGCTCCAAACTAGAAAGCCTGATGTGTCTCAGAGGAAAGTCTTTCTTACCTCCCTTCTTTCTCCACTTTCTTCCTCTTTCCATCCTTCTCTCCTTTCTCTTCTTCCTTCCCACTCTTTTTCTTCCTCCCTCCCTTTTCTTCTATCCCTTTTTTAAAAATTTCAGAAAAATGGTTTGGCTTGCTAAAGCGATATCTAGTCATAGATACTAAATGTATGGGTGTGGAATACTGCAACCTACAAGAAAGAGACATTATGACCCTTATATTCTGTTAAAAGAAGATTTCAAACCATAAAGCTTTTAAAAAATTGTATCAGAAGAGATAATTCAACATTTTCCCTCCTGACCAATGGAAGAAAATCAGAACAGTTTCACAGAGAAAGTTATGGATGCTCATAATATCACATTCTCTTACTCTTTTGTGTCATGCCACAAGATATCATGAGTATCCATAACTTTACAATTATGCATAATTATTTATCATTTATAGCACTATCTTATAATTCTTTAATTTTGTCATCATAATAGCCATTGACGTAAGTAAGAAAGATAGCGATCCTTTCAGTATTTTATAGAAAAAGACATGGATGCAGAGTCAACCTGAGATGTTACCTACTGGTACAAAACACTGGGCTCACTGCAGAAAGGGTAGATATCTGTGTGAATGACTGTGGCTACCTTTAATAGAGCATTTCAAGAAGGATCTCAGTTCAGTCATGCCTCTTACTGGTTGACTCTACTTAAGGAGTTTCATATTCCTGGGATTCAATTCTGTTTTGTTATAACAAAGAAGGAGTAATCTATGATTTCTCAAATTCTTTTTAGCTCACACAAGTTCAAATTGTAGAAATCCTTTTCAGCACGGGCCATGCCTGTCCTCTGTGTATAGGAAAACTTTACCTTTTCTCTTTAAATTTCTCTTACTCTGGCTAATGAGAACCCATTTTATTTTTGGCACCCAAGCTTACCTTAGTGTGATCTTAAAGGAAGAGGATTGTTTGGAATAAGGAGACAATTTCAGGGCTCTGAGTTTTCTTCATGACTGAAGTCAGTTGTTCATAAGGCAGCACCTCAGGTTCTTACGGTTTTTACTAGCCACCTTCCACTGGAAGCATTGTCTTGTTCTGTCCCTCTCAGTGGTAAACCCTGTTAGAGCCAGCTAACTGATCAGATGAAGAAAGGTAGTTTTCAACCATGACTAATGTGCATATATGGCTGAAGGAAAACTTACACATAATAGAATTTCTTCAAAGTTAATAATGTAATTGCATCTGGCAATCAACTGAAGTCCCTATGTTTTTCACATATCCTTGAGAAAATTCAGATGTTTCCTAGTTAATACAGAGAGGATAAGAAAGGGCTTGGTAAGCCGGGCGCGGTGGCTCACGCCTGTAATCCCAGCACTTTGGGAGGCCGAGGCGGGTGGATCACGAGGTCAAGAGATCGAGACCATCCTGGTCAACATGGTGAAACCCCGTCTCTACTAAAAATACAAAAATTCAGCTGGGCATGGTGGCGTGTGCCTGTAATCCCAGGTACTCAGGAGGCTGAGGCAGGAGAATTGCCTGAACCCAGGAGGCGGAAGTTGCGGTGAGCCGAGATCGCGCCATTGCACTCCAGCCTGGGTAACAAGAGCGAAACTCCTTCTCAAAAAAACCTTCTAAAAAAAAAAAAAGAAAGGGCTTGGTATATAGTACAAACTTCTGCCCTGGCCTCTGATCAGGCTCTTGTTCTGGTCTGTATTTGTATACATATCCTGAGAAAGACTCCTAGACAAATACTTTATATTATCATCTATCATATTATCTTTGGGATTGTTTGAAAGAGAGAATATTTCTTCAAAAAGTATGTTATGAAGTAGATGTAATATCAGAATAAATGTTTGGTTTTCTGTTCTTGTGTCAGTTTGCTGAGAATGATGGTTTCCAGATTCATCCAGGTCCCTGCAAAGAACAGGAGCTCATCCTTTTTTATGGCTGTATAGTATTTTATGGTGTATATATGTCACAATTTCTTTATCCAGTCTATCCTTGATGGGCATTTGGGTTGGTTCCAAGTCATCACTATTGCAAACAGTGCCTTAATGAACATACTTGTGCATGTGTTTTTATAATAGAATGACTTATAATCCTTTGGGTATATCCCCAGTAATGGGATTGCTGGGTCAAATGGTATTTCTATTTCTAGATCCTTGAGGAATTGCCACACTGTCTTCCACAATGGTTGAACTAATTTACACTCCCACCAACAGTGTCAAAGCATTCCTATTTCTCCACATCCTCTCCAAGCATCAATTGTCTTCAGATTTTTTAATGATCACCATGCTAACTGGTGGGAGATGATATCTCAATGTTTTTGATTTGTATGTCTCTAATGACCATTGATGGTGAGCATTTTTTCCTGTTTGCAGTCCACATAAATGTCTTCTTTTGAAAAGTGCCTGTTCATATCCTTCACCCGCCTTTTAAGGGGGTTGCTCTTTTCTGGTAAACTTGTTTTAGTTCTTTGTAGATTCTGGATATTAGCCCTTTGTCAGGATAGATTGCAAAATTTTTTTCCCATTCTGTTGCCTTCCAGTTCTCTCTAATTGTTTCTTTTGCTGTGCAGAAGCTCTTAAGTTTAGTTTGATCCCATTTGTCTATTTTGGCTTTTGTTGCCATTGCTTTTGTCGTTTTAGTCATGAAGTCCTTGACCATACCTATATCCTGAATGGTATTGCCTGGGTTTTCTTTTAGTGTTTTCATGGCGTTAGGTCTTATGTTTAAATCTTTAATCCATCTGGAGTTAATTTTTGTATAAGGTGTAAGGAATGGGTCCAATTTCAGCTTTCTGCACATGGTTAGCCAGTTTTCCCAATACCATTTATTAAACAGGGAATAATACTTTCCCCATTGCTTGTTTTTGTCAGGTTTGTCAAAGATCAGATGGTTGTAGGTGTGTGGCATTACTTCCAAGGCCTCTGTTCTGTTCCATTGGTCTATATCTCTGTTTTGGTACCAGTACCATGCTGTTTTGATTACTGTAGCCTTATAGTATAGTTTGAAGTCTAGTACTGTGATGCCTCCAGCTTTGTTCTTTTTGCTTAGATTGTCTTGGCTATGTGGGCTCTTTTTTGGTTCCAAATGAAGTTTAAGGTGGTTTTTTCCAGTTCTATGAAGAAGGACAATGGTAGCTTGATGAGGATAGCATTGAATCTATAAATTACTTTGGGCAGTATGGCCATTTTCATGATATTGATTCTTCCTAACTATGAGCATGGAATATTTTTCCATCTGTTTGTGTCCTCTCTTGTTTACTTGAGCAGTGGTTTGTAGTTGTCCTTGAAGAGGTCTTTCACATCCTTTGTTATTGTATTCCTAGGTATTTTATTATCTTTGCAGCAATGTGAATGGGAGTTCAATCATGATTTGGCTGTGTGTTTGTTATTGGTGTATAGGAATGCCTGTGATTTTTGCCCATTGATTTTTGCATCCTGATACTTTGCTGAAGCTGCTTATCATCTTAAGGCCATTTTGGGCTGAGACAATGAGGTCTTCTAAATATACAATCATGTAATCTACAAATAAAGACAATTTGACTTCCTCTTTTCCTAACTGAATATCCTTTTATATTTCCTTTCCTTGCCTGATTGCTGTGGCTAGAACTTCTAATACTATGTTGAATAGGAATGGTGAGAGAGGGCACACTTGCCTAGTGCCAGTTTTCAAAGGGAATGCTTTCTGTTTTTGTCTGCTTAGTATGATATTACCTGTGGGTTTGTTTTTTGATAGCTTTTATTATTTTGAGATACTGTCCACTGATACCTAGTTTATTGAGAGTTTTTAGCATAAACTCTGTTGAATTTTGTTGAAGGAATTCTCTGCATCTATTGATATAATCATGTGCTTTTATCTTTGGTTCTGTATATGTGACGGATTACGTTTATAGATTTGTGTATGTTGAACAAGCTTTGCATTCCCTTGATGATGCCAACTTGATCTTGATGGAAAATTTTTTTGATGTGCTGTTGCATTCAGTTTGCCAATATTTTATTGAAGATTTTTGCATTGATGTTCTTTGTGGATACTGGCCCGAAATTTTCTTTTTTAGTTGTGTCTCTACGAGGTTTTGGTATCAGGATGATGTTGGCCTCATAAAATGAGTTAGGGAGGATTCCCTCTTTTTGTATTGTTTGAAATAGTTTCAGAAGGAATGGTACCAGCTCCTCTTTGTACATCTGGTAGAATTTATCTGTGAACCCATCTGGACCTGTACTTTTTTTGGTTGGTAGGCTATTAATTGCTGCCTCAACTTCAGACCTTGTTATTAGTCTATTCGGGGATTCAACTTCTTCCTGGTTTAGTCTTGGGAGGGTGTAAGTGTCCAGGAATCCATTTCTTCTAGATTTACTGGTTTATGTGCATAGAGGTGTTTGTAGTAATCTCTGATGTTAGTTTGAATTTCTATGGGATCAGTGGTGATATCCTCTTTATCATTTTTATTGCATCTATTCAATTCTTCTCTCTTTTCTTTTTTGTTAGTCTGCTAGTGGTCTATCTATTTTGTTGACCTTTTCACCTTCTGGATTTACTGATTTTTTGAAGCGTTTTTTTGTGTCTCTGTCTTCTTCAGGTCTGCTCTGATATTAGTTATTTATTGTTTTCTGCTAGATTTTGAATTTGTTTGATGTTTCTCCTTTAGTTCTTTTAATTTTGATGATAGGGTGTCGATTTTAGCACTTTCCTTGCTTCTCATGTGGGCATTTAGTGCTATAATTTTCCCTCTAGACACTGCTTTAAATGTGTCCCAGAGATTCTGGTATGTTGTGTCTTTGTTCTCATTGGTTTTGAAGAACATCTTTATTCTGCCTTCATTTCATTATTTATCCAGTAGTCAGTCGGGAGCAGGTTGTTCAGTTTCCATGTAGTTGTGTGGTTTTGCGTGAGTTTCTTAGTCCTGAGTTCTAATTTGATTGCATTGTGGTCTGAGAGACTGGTTGTTATAATTTCCCTTATTTTGCATTTGCTGAGGAGTGATTTACTTCCAATTAGGTGGTCAATTTTAGAGTAAGTGAGATGTGATGCTGAGAAGAATATATATTATGTGTGTTTGTGGTGGAGAGTTCTGTAGACGTCTATTAGGTGTTCTTGGTCCAGATCTGAATTCAAGTTCTGGATATCCTGTTAATTTCTGTCTCATTGATCTGTCAAATATTGACAGTGGAGTGTTCATGTCTCCCACTATTATTGTGTGGGAGTCTAAGTCTCTTTGTAGGTCGTTAGGAACTTGCTTTACATATCTGGGTGCTCCTGTATTGGATGCATATATATTTAGGATAATTCGCTTTTGTTGCATTGATCTCTTAGCTACTATGTAATCCCCTTCTTTTTCTCTTTTGATCTTTGTTGGTTTAAAGTCTGTTTTATCAGAGAGTAGGATTGCAACCCCCGCTTTTTTTTTGCTCTCCAATTGCTTGTTAAATCTTTCTCCATCAGTTTATTTTGAGTCTATGTGTGTCTTTGCATGTGAGATGGGTCTCCTGAATATAGCAAATCAATGGGTCTTGACTTTTTATCCAATTTGCCAGTCTGTGTCTTTTGATTAGGGCATATAGCACATTTACATCTAAGGCTAATATTGTTATGTGTGAATTTGATCCTGCCATTTTGATATTAGCTGGTTATTTTGCCCGTTAGTTGATGCAGTTTCTTAATTGTGTCGATGGTCTTTACTATTTGGTACATTTTTGCAGTGGCTGGTACTGGTTGTTCTTCTCCATGTTTAGTGCTTCTTTCAGAAGCTCTTGTAAGGCAGGCCTGGTGGTGATGAAATTTCTCAGCAATTGCTTGTCTGTAAAGGATTTTATTTCTCCTTCACTTATGAAGCTTAGTTTGGCTGGATATGAGATTCTGGGTTGAAAGTTCTTTTGTTTAAGGACGTTGAATATTGGCCCCCACTCTCTTCTGGCTTGAAGGGTTTCTGCTGAGAGATCTGATTCGCTGTGAGTCTGATGGGTTTCCACTTGTGGGTAACCCAACCTTTCTGACCTTTCTCTCTCCAGAACATGAAGGATTTTTTTCTTCATGTCAACCCTGGTGAATCTGATATTTATGCACCTTAGGGTTGCTCTTCTCGAGGAATATCTTTGTGGTATTGTCTGTATTTCCTGTATTTGAATGTTGGCCTGCCTTGCTAGGTTGGGGAAGTTTTCCTGAATGATATCCTGAAGTTTGTTTTTCAGCTTGGATTAATTCTCCCCATCACATTCAGGTACACCTATCAAGCTTAGATTAGGTACTTTCATATAATCCTATATTTCTTGGAGGCTTTGTTCATTTCTTTCCACTATTTTTTCTCTAATCTTGCCTTCTTGTTTTATTTCATTGAGTTGATCTTCAATCTCTGATATCCTTTCTTTTGCTTGATCGAATCAGCTATTGAAACTTGTGTATGTTTCAGGAAGTTCTTGTACTGTGTTTTTCAATTTGATCAAGTCGTTTATGTTCTTCTCTAAGCCAAGTTATTCTAGTTAGGATTTTGTCCAACCTTTTCTCATGGTTCTTAGTTTCTTTGCATTGGGTTGGAACATGTTCCTTTAGCTCAGAGAAATTTGTGATTATCCACCTTCTGAAGCCTCCTTCTGTCAATTCCTCAAACTCATTCTCCATCTAGTTTTGTTCCCTTGCTGGTGAGGAGTTTTGATCCGTTGGAGGAGAGGCATTCTGGTTTTTGATGTTTTCATAATTTTTGCACTGGTTTCTTCCCATCTTAGTGGATTTATCTACCTTTGGTTGTTGAAGTTGGTGACTTTCAGAAGGGGTCTCTGAGTGGGCATCCCTTTTGTTGATGCTGAGACTATCTGTTTCTGTTTTTCAGTTTTCCTTCTAATGGTCAGGCCCCTCAGCTGCAGGACTGCTGGAGGTCCACTCCAGACCCTGCTTGCCTGGGAATCACCCATGGGTGGTGGATAACAGCAAGGATTGCTGCCTGTTGCTTCCTCTGATAACTTCATCCCAGGAGGGTACCCGCCAGATGTCAGCCAGAGCTCTTATATATGAGGTGATTCATTGGATATATAGGGGTCATGGAGCCACTTGAGGAGGCAGTCTGGATTTTGTTTCTATCAGTGTAAAATATAGATAATAATAGTACCTATTTGATAGGATTGATATGAGAACTATTTACATTAATTGAGTGATTAGAAGTGTACTTAGTACACAGAAAAAAAACAATAAAGATAACTTGTACTTTTACCCATAGTTGTCATTCAATCTCTGAAGAGATGTTTTCATTAGATCTTTTAAGTTTAAATCCTGTATTTAGCATTGCACCTAATCATTAGTAAGTTAAAAAATTGTGGAAGATACTTAAAAATCCATTTTGCTGCACCGTTTAATAGAGTTTATTTATGGTCTCTGCTTCTTTAAATAAATGTCAAATTTTACCCATTTTTGAAGTTCATGAGCTGGTAAATATTTTTCAGAAATATACAGTTACTTATAGATTATTTAAAATCCTTTACTCCTGTGCTATTGGTGTTTTATGGGAGCTGCTTAACATTTAAATATATCCATAAGGACAGTCATGGGACTGTTTTAATTGTTATGAGGAAGTATTTATTGTTGTTATTACTATTTTTTACCTGATTGATTTGTGTCTTGCCTTAATATGTTGTTGCTGTTGTTGTTTTCTAGTAATTCATTCCTTTTATACTTTATCCAACCAAAAGTGAACAGAGTAGCCCACTGCAGCTAATGTCTGTCCAAGACTTATATTTATCAAATTTGATTTGACTTTATCTGTGTATGCATTTGAAGCCAACTTACTAAAAGTAAAGTCCCTTGCCTTTATCCATGTTTTCTGCTTTTAAAAAGAAAGCTAACATTTTCTTTCTTTCTGACTTTAGCAAATGTGAAAATTATGTTTACTTGAAGCTAGAATTTGGACCAGAAAGGGAGCATAACAACTTTTGATTAAAAGAATTCCAGATGAATCTATTCCTGCTTGTCACCTGTCATTAAGTGGATTTAAGCCTCTCAAAGGTTGAAAATTGTTTTTGAGGGTGTTATTTAGGCTTTTATTATTGGAAGCACTCTGATTATTCTACTTTTAGTACCCTTTTAAAAATGTAAATTGGGGGTTGACACTTTACTGTTAATATATAGTTTCACCGTTGGCAAATGGAAAACAAATCTGAATGATTTTTCTTCAGCTAACTATCAAATTTTCCAAAGAGTAGAAGAGATATTTTTCACGAATGTGCTGAATAGCTTTCATCAAGCTTAATGGTAAAAAAGAACATTATGCTTAGACACTAGAAAGATATTACAAGGATATTAGTGTGAGAAGAAATTTCAGGCCTATTACAAACAATTCCATGTGGAAGACTTATGTATGACATACAAAACTAAGTTAAACGCTTTGAAGTAGGTCATAAAGCATTCACAAATGATGTCAAATATGTATGCAGATTAAAGATCATAGATGATCAGGTAAACAAAAACGTAGAAACAACTTTGGGTAAGAAAATTAAAGCTCTAACTTTTTGTGTGGCTTTTTGTAATCTGTACAGAGGTACAGATTTTGTTTTCATCATATATATACCTTATGAATTATTTATTACTCTAATAAAATAACATAATTTTACAATTAAGAAATCAGAGACAATTTCATAGGATTAAGATGTTGCTCTTTAGATTACATTTGGTTTTCATGAGCATTCTGATTTTAATTTGAATATTAGCTAGCCAACTAGGGCCTGACAAATACTGAAATATATTTAGTTCATCATGTAATGTTGAGTTGATTCAAATTTTGGCTTCTGTGTTGTAGGTATACATATAAATTACAACCTTTTACTTAAAGACTGATAAATATGACAAAGTGAAAATTTTTTAAAAATTCTATTGATCTATACCTGTTGCGTGCACACACACACACACACACACACACACACACCACAACACACACACAGTATTTTAATCTAAGTGAAAGGACAGCCAGGAGTCTCCATGTCATCCTGTTGTTTCAGATAGTGTAAGACTCAGGCGGCCTCCTAAGAAGAATCCCATAGTCTACCGAGAGACTTATGTGGCAATATAACTGCTGGTGCTTCAAGTTTATATGAAATTGTGGGGCCCTTTTCTAATAATACTTTTTCACGTAATCTGTTTGCATCACTTGAAAACTTAGCTTTCTTTTTCTTTTTTTTTTTAATCAATTTCTTTATTCTCTGATCTATATATTTCTTCTGTTATTGAATTCTTTAAATTTGGGATATAAAATGACAATTTAAAACTTGACCTATTTTTTTAGTAATCCAGTTACACCTGTTAAAATGGGATTTATCTAGCATAAATTAATAATGGATATGTATTTGAAAAGAGGAAATCATTAAAAACATGAAGATATTTTGGATGTTTTCAGTATTCTGAAGCATTTTAATGTGGAAAAAAGAATAATAGATTCATCAAGCGTTGCCTCTCAGATCTCAGCCTGTGTGGGAGTCTTGACCTCATACCATTGATCTAAGCTACTGGGTGGCAATTGGGAAGTTAAGAATATGCTGAATTATTTAAATATTCAAATTCATTCAGCAAAATAAATGCAAGGAGAATGGAAATTAGAACATTTCATTTAATTAATATTTACTACATAGCTACAGGGTGCTTGGCATGAAATCAGGAGCTATTTGTACAGTAAATGTCTTTCTTAATGCAAAAACATTATATATGGTATTAATGGATATGATCCTGGATTTACAGTTTCTGTTATAAGGCACGTCTTATTAAATCTCATAAGATCTCAAGAGATGTCTATAACAGCATTGCTGGTAAGCTCACCATGAAAACATAGCCAGATTGAACTTTAGGGTTCAGAATTAATATATTGCTCCAGTAACATTTGCCTTAATTTGCCTGGTTCTAAAATTTACACAAGCATCTCCTCCATTTCTGAATACCCACTGAATGAAAGGCAATTGAAGCCAAGGAAAGGTTCTTTTGACAGACTACTAATCTACTGTACTAGTATACTATACTAGTATGCTGTAACTTTATAAGCCAAATTTGCTCCACTATCTGATTTAGAAAATACAGTCTTACTGGAACAGTCACACCCATTTGTTGTGTTTTCATGTTGTGTGTGTGTTCTTTCACACGACAATAACAGTAGTGAGTAGTTGCCACACAGCATATAGAACTCTCAAAGCCAAATATAGTTTGGTCTGGCCCTTTATAGAAAAAAGTGTGCTGGTCCCTATTGTGAAGAGTCATTCTTTTCATCTTGAGGAAGGAAATTTTTATCAACCAACACATAAGACAAAAAAGACACACAGACACTCCAATGCCTGATCTAAGCTAGTTGAATTTGGAGTAGCCACAATATTTCTAGGAATCTGAAAAGATTAGTAGAGGATGAGAAATCCCAAAGGACAGATTTGTTTTATAAAAACGTGAAGCCTGTCCATCCTAGTTGTATTCTCACAATGAGTGTCATTTTTTGAGTTATTCTAACTTGAATGCTGTGTGTCTACATGGAGGCTTGAAATTCTTTTCTCTGGTTGTTTCCGCCTTGCGTTTTATTAATATATTAGATCTATTTTCACTTTCATGTATACTTTTTTTCACCAAATGAATAGTGGCATATAATATCTTCAGTGGCTGATTTTACTTTAACTCACAAATTCTTTCTTCTTCTTGCTGTATATACATATATAGAGCCATATGTGTGTGTATATATATATGATCACAAGAGTCTATAGCTCTGCATCACTTAATAAAATAGATAAAATTCTTGGCTATAAATGTCTTTGTCATCTCAAAGAACAAAACAGCAGGTACCTTAGGGCAAAGGGAACCCAGAAATAGTACAAAATGTTACATGTGATGTGACAGAGGAGGGGTGTGCCCAATCCCTTGTAAACATCTGCTACAATGAGAATGACCATTAATCTTTTATGTCCTCTCTTCCATACTTATCTTCTATGCTTTAGGGCAGTAGTAATCTTTGGGGACTCAAATTTCTAAAGTTTCACATGGAAGCAAATTACTTTGTGTAGATCTTATAGGCAGGCACCTCAACAGTATTTATTGAATATATACTTTGTACAAAACACAATTCTAGAAGTTCTTGAGTACTTTTTAAAAATATTGGATTATAGCTCCTTCCCTGGAGGGGTTTATAGTCTAAATGATATCTTAGAAAAGTAAAATCTCATTTTGAGAAGAAAGGAAGTTTGACAACTTTGTTTCTGTAAAAGTTGTATAACTGTTTTGCCATTACATCAGAAATAATAATTAATGAGACAAAATTTAGAAAAAAAAAAGCAAAACAAAGCTAGTAACAAGAAAGAGCATATATTATTAAGAAGGCCTTTCATATCCTGTCATCACTAACAGGGAAATCCATAAATTGATGATGGAAACAATAGACTTTTTAAGCTCTTATGAAAATCACAGTTACACTTTTGTAGAGAGTGACGAAGGAAATGGCATATTCATGCTTGTAGCTCTGGTCCAGAAGAGAACTTGAATTGTTCCTTATGATACTGGGCTGTATTAAGTGTAATTGAAGCATAGAATGCAGAGATGTTTGAAAGAGTCTTTTAAAATAATCTATAGTTCCTCCT